TGGCATCATAGTAACAGCTTCATACATCGATCGAGGTCTGGATTTGAGTTTGCCAACAGCACGGTCCATGAGGACCACTTCCCCCCATCCCTCTGTGCCCCATGTCATTGTAGCAACTAGTACTCAGCACAAATGTTTTTAATTTTTGTATGATGAACCCACCCGGGGCAGATAAATTGCTTTAGCAATTGCACTTTCAGGCCACTTACACAATAGGCTGAAGTCATTCTTAGATTTTCAGTTAGAATAGAAACCATTGTAAACGTATGAAAGATACAAGGGCTTGGAAGAACCCTTACATGACTCATCTACAATGTTGCTGGAATCGAACCAATGGTTCCCAGCCCTGCTGAATCAGAATAACCTGGGGAACTGGTAGTTACATGTCAAATCAGTGGAATTAGAATTTCTGGAGGTGAAACATGGGCATAATATTTTCTTACATTCTCTTCAAGTTATTATAATATATCTTCAGGGTTGAGAGTCACGAGATCTAATGATATCCTGGGCTCAAGGAGGGTATGAGATTATACCAAGTTCACCCAGAGGGTCAATACAGAGCAAAGGTGAAACCCTGGGTTTTCTGGCTTCCAGTGTGGTCTTCTTTTAAAGGCACCATCGTAATTCACTTAGTAATTAATGCACTTAGTAATGTCTACTTAATCAATTCAGGAACTAGAGACTGTAAATCTTAAGATCTCTTTCTTTAAGTAATGAACATCAGGCATCCAAGATTCTCAGTCACCAGCATATTGGGCTCCATTACTTGTTGTTGAGAATTGGGCTGCGTATATCATTCCTGAGAGGCAGCCCAGTAAGTATGTTGGGCTGCACATTAGGTAAAGCTGGGTTCTAGCATCAGCTTTGTCACTGATGAGCCGTGTGACGTAGGTTGAATACATTCAGTCTAGGGCTCTCTATCCTGGCTGCATACCAGAATCGCCTCTGTAAGCTTAGAAGATATAAAAGCTCTGACTCCAGTCTCAAGTGTTTTCATTTAGGAAATCTACAGTGGCTCAGGACTATGTATGTTAGAAGGTCCTCAAGTGACCCTGAGGCACATCCCCGGGCTAGTGATCTCCAGAGAATGGTTTTTGTTGTTGTTTTTCAGTTCTGATAGTCTGTGTTCAAAAGATTTCTGTGGCTATACTGCCTAAGTTGTTTGTTCTTTTTAAACAACTTTCTTGGGCTATAGTTTGCCTGCCATACAATTTACCCATTTAAAGTACACAATGCAATGGCTTTGATATAATCACAGATACGTACAACTACCACCATAGCCAATTTTAGAACGTTTTCAAAATCCCACAAGAAACCTTCCATGCTTTAGCCATCACTTCCCTGATTCCTAGCTTTGCCCCAGCCCTAGTCAAATCTATAGATATTCCTGTTCTGGACATTTCACATGAATGGAATCATATGTAATCTTTTGTAAGTGACTTCCTTCATTTTGCATGATGCTTTCAAAATTCATTCATGTTGGGCCAGCCGAGTGGCACGGTGGTTAAGAGCTGGCTTGGGACGCTGGAGGGCCCTGGTTCAGATCCCACATATGAGGGCCAGTGACACTGCCCTCTACAGCTAAGATGCTGAACAACAGCTCGACCTGGAGCTGGGCTGCT